AATAAAATAATAAAATAAAGGGCATGGTTAAAATAATTGTTTTAGCATGTCATACATTAGCAGCAAACTTTGTGAAATAAACAAATTCACAATGGGGTCATGGGTCAGCAACAAAAGTAATTACTTACCAGACACCTTTCTTGTCTGTCTTTTGTATTTTTACCTTTTTTCTTTTATGAAATTTGGCAACAATATTTTCATTTCTTGGTAATGTCTAAAAACAAAAACATTAGGGCAATATATCATAAGGATCAAACTGATTTTTTTTTTATGTCAAAAAAAAAATTAATTTTTGTTTAAATATATGTTACATTGAAGAAAATATGGACATTAACAAATATCAATGCACAGTAGATGAATATTAAATTATAGAAAAGTATCTTAAAATTTGTTTCACCGCATTTCAATTATTTCAAAGTCAAATAATAGCTTCAAATACTAAATTTCATAAAGTGTTCTGTTGCAAAGAAACATAGACAACTGAAAATATGACTATTCTTTAGATTCAACACTAACCATACAAAACTGCTATGAATATTCCATAATTCAAAAACATACATTAGTTTTTGCAAAATCTTGGCTTACCAACAGACAGACAAACAACGGCGAATATATAACCTCTTCGGCAGAGGTGAATAATTAAGTACTGTACCTGAAATAGTGCCTTCCAGTTGGAATCTACATTTTCATACTGGCTACATCTATCCCTGTGTTTCCTTTTGGAGCTAATTACGATTGGAAATTGAGTGTTATCAGTTGGAGACTGTTCCTTCACTGCATCTTCTCCTGAAATCCTACACAGTTTTTGTTGACTCTTGTCATCATTATCCATTATCAAACCTCTTTTCTGCTTCTTGGCTGTCTTTTTCGTATTACCTAACGTTGATTGTTGGCCTGTACAACGTTTCTCTGTAACTGATACAGTAGACTTGCTATTATGAGATTTCATTTTGCAACAATGCAGCTGGCCTGAAATCTATATAAAAATTATACAATATTAGTATTAATAAGTATTAGACTAAACCATGCATGTGAACACATGCTTGATAAGGCCAAACATTTTTTAAACCTTGTTTAATACCAAACTTTTATTTTATTTTAAATTGTCAAGAGGTAGGGTTCCCAAGTCTCCTGGAAGTCGCGAAGTCTCCCGGAAATGCTGGAAGCAAGCAAGAATCTCAACGAAAAAATAACCCATATCTCGCAGCATGGTGTATAACAAGTCATGACACCCACGGGCGAGAAAATGTTGGGCCCCTTGCATATCAGTAAAATAGACAATGCCAACAAGTGTGTGATTATTTAACAATATAATCATACTGTAAATTAAAAATTTATTATTGCCTACAACGTATGAATTAGGTCTAGTATAAATCCCGCAAAGCAAGCAAGAATTTTCCACGAAAGTAACCCATCTCCTGCAGTGATGTAACAACGAGTCATGGAGCCCCCGGGGCGAGAAAATGTTGGGGCCCTTCCATATCAGTAAAACAGACAATGCCAACAAATGCTGTGTGATTATTTAACAATATAATCATAAATATTTATTTTTATTATAGCCTGCAACCTAAAAATTAGGTCTACAGGGATATGCATAAATCTTGCAAGCAAGCAAGAATATCCAGGAAAATTACCCATTTCCCGCAGCATAGTAACAACAAGTCATGGGGCCCAGGAACAAGAAAATGTTGGGCCCCTTGCATATCAGTGAAGTGTATAAATCATTATTTTATTACGTGAATTTCATTAGCGTGCATACAGTAGATAATACATGCTTAATCATGAATGTACAGTACAGGTATTGATCTAAGTTCTAAGGAAGATTTGCCATTATAAAAGTATTTTTCAAAAAATAAAAGGTAAGGTAAAGTTAGCCCTCACCCCCAAATGATTTTTAAAAAAATAAACAAAAATAAAAGAAAAGTCCAGAGAGAGAAAAGTTATTGTACACCTCTTAAAAAAAAATATATATATATATTTTTTTAATTTAAAATCCATCAGCGTCTATCGTCTCAAGAATTTTCTAAACAAAACTCAACACCATCCCTGCTCATTGCATGGCCCCACCCAGATTTTTCCCTAGAGATCATCAACCCCTGGTTATCTATAAGTGCCATTCCAACAATTAAATAATCAACTCTATTGTTCAATACGAAAATTCACAGATGGACACAAATTTACTTTCCCCATACAATGTAATAATATCAGGCTTAAAACTTATTAATAATTCTTTTCTTCAGGTTTTTTAGGATTGAAAATACCAATATGAAGACGGTTAGGTAAGAAAATTGGTTGATTGTTTCAATAAAGTATCACTTCGATACCACAAATTATGTTGCTCTGAAAAATAAAAGGCCACTCTAATAGAATAACCATCGTTCTTTATAGTCCAACTGATTGTGCTGTAGCCCTTTACCATCCAAATATCCGATTTATTACTGTAGTAGTACAGTGTACCCCTACATTGTTTAATTGAGTTTAACAATGTATATTTCAGTACCGCATTAATTTATAGGCCTACTATGGCAGGTAATCATGTATTTATTTCTTTATTTATTGAGCCATGTTTTAGGGAGGAGGCAAATTCTAAGGTGTGGGTATCAGCAGAGCCGTAGATAGAGAGAGTTTGGCCAACTCAGTTTCAATCACGTGACTTACACCGGCCATGTTGTCACCAAAACAAAACAACGCGATAGGGTAGGAAGTTAGCAGTTATTATAGATGATTAATGCTATATAATGTGAAATACCATTATGTTGGTTTTGGGGTTGTTGCAATCGATCCAACAAAGAAACAAAAATGTATTAATTTCCTTAAATTCCTTAAAGTGGTGGGGTGGGGGGGTCGGCCCCCCCCCCCACTTTTTGGCAACAAATATATTATGTCTGGAGATTTTTGTATGATCGGAAAGAAATGCAAGAAAAGAAAGAAGGAAGGAGGAGAAGGATGGGAAAAGAATGTTTATCCAGTCCCAGACCGAGTTACATTTTCTCACAATTCACATTGGCGGATCTGGGGGAGGAGGGTCATGGGTCCTGACCCTTCCCTTGGGCAACAAAAAAAGGGAAAAAAAGAATTCTAGACCTACCTTTTCAGGACCCGTGAGCTGTTTTTTTTTTTTTATGTTACTATAAGAAAATTAGAATTTTGAAGAACATAAAAGTCATTAAAACACACTTCAAATGTCGGGAAAGCTCATTCATCTAGGAATAAAAAATTTCCCAGGGGAGAACCCCCAGACCACCATTTCTTTTTGGGATTTATCGATTCGTGGAAAAAAGAATACGCATGTAACTACTCATTTATTTATGTATGTATACACACATAAAATAAAAAATGAGAAAATTTTACCTGATCGTCTTCAAGAGGGGAAAACCTTGAATTTTGAAGAACTTAAAAAGTCATTTAAAAGACATTTCCGAAGTCAGGAAAGCTTATTTCCCGCATTCTAGAAATCGAAATTTTCCCGGGGAACCCGGAACCCCTTTTTGTAGGGGGGTTCAACGATTCATTGAATCATTTTCAAGAGGGGGAAATCTTGAATTTTGAAGAAATTTAAAGTAATTAAAAGACACTTCAGAAGTCGGCGGGAAAGCCCATTTCCCGCCTTCTAGGAATCAAAATTTTTTCGGGGGAACCCCGACACCTTTTTCTTTGGGGTTCATTGATTCATTGAATTATTTTCAAGAGGTGAAAAACCTTTAATTTTTTGAAGTAATTAAAAGACACCTCAGAAGTCGGGAAAGCTCATTTCCCGTCTTCTGGAATCAAAATTTTCCTGGGGGAGAACCTCCGGACCCCTTTCTATTTGGGATTTATCGATTTATGAAAAAAAAAATTATATGCAACTACTCAATATTTTTTTTATGTATGTATACACACATAAGGCCTATTTACTGTAATAACAAGTGGAAAAATTTACCTGACCGTTTTCAAAAGAGGAAACCTTGAATTTTGAAGAACTTAAAAGTAATTAAGACACCTCAGAAGTCGGAAATATTTCCCGCCATTTAGGAATCAAAATTTTCCCGGGGGAGAACCCCCGGAACCCCCTTGTCTTTGGAGCTTATCGATTAATTGAAAAAAGAATACGTATATATGCAACTACTATTTTTTTTTATGTATGTATATACACACAACCGGCCAATTTACTGTAATAAGAATGAGAAAGACCGTTTTCAAGAGGGGGAAAACCTTGAATTTTGGAGAACAAAGTCATTAGACACCTAGCTAAAACCTAGCTACTTGAGAAGTTGGGAAAGCTCATTTCCCACCATTTAATCAACACTTTCCCGGGAAGAACCCAAACCTCCATTTTCTCTTTGAGTTCATTGATTCATTATAATAATTTTCAAGAGGGAAAAGCCTTGAATTTTGAAGAACTTGAAGGTAATTAAAAGACACTTCAGAAGTCGGAAAAGCTCATTTCCCGCCTTCTAGGAATCAAAATTTTCCCCGGGGAGGACCCCCCTTTCTTTTTGGGATTTATGGATTCATGGAAAAAAAAATCGTATGCAACTACTCAATTTTGTTTATGTATGTATCATAGCCGTCGGAAGCATTTTGCAAGTATGTCCGGCCATTTTAATAAGAGTGGGCATGGGTGGGTGGTAGGGTGCAACACATTTTTTTTTCACCATAGTTGAAAAAATGGCTCCTCAGCCGGGAAATAGCACATGCATAATTTTAGAAAAATCAATGTCTTCACTTTTAATTTAAGGGTTACAATTTTTTATATTGGAAGTAGGCCTAATCAGGGCCAGCTTGGCCATTATACCTTTGCCAAAATGTTATAATAGTTATTTTATATTATACCTCTAAACAATTTCAAAATCAATCTTAAATATTGAAATTAAGGATTGTCAATAAAGTTGAAATGTACACGGCAATACAATAAATTGTGTTTAGGCCTATATTACTTACACGTAGATATATTAGCCAATGCACTGTTTTGTGTATAGCGTCTCTTTCTATTGAATGACGATAAATGTTAGTGGCAATGTCAGTAATATTTTAATGGAAAGACAAGTTGATGTCTGGCTACTAAGAAATGTTAAATTAAGAATAAATAAGAGCATGCAGTAACTGTACAACCATTTAAAAACATTTAATGTGTTATTTTTTAATTTACATCTAAATTGAGAAATCTGAAGACCACATTTAGTACCCATGAGTTCCATGTCTCCCGTAGTGTCTCGCAATGGGGTCTCCTAGAAACTGGCAGGAAGAACTCCAGCATATTTTTCCCCAAAATAAACCATCTCCCGCAAATTCATGATGATATTTGCATGCTTTAACAAGTTTTGAAACTGTAATGTCAATTGTCTGCGCAGCAGTTAGTACCAATCATTAATGGTTATCACCATGCACAGCAAAATTTGGTTGGGATAAGAAAATTCATTTAAACAGATCTCCTGATTGTGGATTCTTCCAAATTGGGACTTGAATTCGACACCAAAAGACCACCATACAC